TCGATTCCTCTAATCTCTTGTTTATTTATAAACTTACTTCTTACCCTGATTCTCACCTAAAAAATATTAAATATTTGGACGAGCACAATGACCCGTGAATAGCAACCACCTCTAATGAGGTGTGAAAATAAATCTCATAGTTCATATACAAAAATAAATTTTGATATATATATATAAGTACAATAAATTATACCCCAATTCCTCACACATAATCATATAAACAACATGATCTTATAATCACAAATAACTTTATAAATGAAAAGACATCTATAACTCAAAATGCTCACATACACATTCAATTCCAAATACATTTATCAAATCATGTTTATTATCACTAGCTTGGTAACTGACATAGTCTTTTATTACCATTAGCCTGATAACTAACACAGTTTCTTGTCATTACTAGCCTGATGACTCCCCCCGTCTCTTGTTATCATTAGTCTAGTAACTGGGTTAGTCTCTTGTCATCACTAGCCTGATGACTGACCTAGTCGCTTGTTACCACTTAAACCTGGTAATCCCAATCTTAGTCGCTTGTTACCACTTAAACCTGGTAACCCCAGTTCTTGTCTCATAAATATGATTTTCACACACATCAAAACTGTAGTTTTAATCCCAATGCGCACAAAATTTCTTTTCATCACCAAAGTAATGATATAAAATCAGCCCACAACTTTTTCAAAATTCACATGTAGAACAGTTCACAATTTCTAAAACATTTAATTGTAATTCCAAATATCAACACATATATCATATATATAAAAAATCCACATGCACGTACTCACACATTGAGTATAGAAAATCCTCCCAACAGAGGTTGTAAACTACTCACCTTGATTCCCAAAATCCAATTCGAAACACTCTTTTCCAACCTCAATGCAATCATTATCTAATCCAAAATAATATATAACCATCAATCCATATTTCTAACTTCGTCTTTTTGTAAATTTATATTTAATTTACGTACTTTCTACCCATTAATATATACTTAATAAATCATTTACATATAACTATCCTTTATAATATGATTTAATAGAGTATAGAAGTAGTCTGTGCTGTTTATAATTTTTTTTTTTAAGTTTTGAGGTCAAATCATAATTTTTAAAATTTTTGGGTTCAAAGTATAATTTCCTTAAAAAACGAATTTTTTATTTTCGGGCAGCCATAAATTTTCCAGAATTCTGTTCTTGTAACTTACCAAGTGAAAAGGTACTTAAAATTAAGTTTAAAAGAATAAAGGGGTTAAAATAAAACTCTTTTACATTAAAAGGGAGCTTTCTATGAATTTTGGATTTGATCTTCTTCTTTCGAGCGGCAGAACCTGGAACAGTACTTCTTTTCCCTATTTTTTTTTTCCTTTTTGCACATTGGTTTAATTTTCCTTAAAATTTCAAAACTGNTCCTTTTTCTTTCATCTTCTTTAGATCGGATAGAGCGACGGAGGGGTTTGTTTATTCTCAAGGATTGGTATGGCTTCAAAGTGGATCATGAAAAAGCTCAAGAATCTTCAGAAGGATCCTCCCACTTCTTGCAGTGTCGCACCCCCACCCCGGATCACACAGGTGGTGGGCAGCAGACCAGCCACCAAAGTCTTAACCTATCATCCTTGTGCATAATAAATGTAAAATACAGCGAAAAATAAATAATAAAGTGATTCATTTCACCGATCTAATAAATACCAGAGGAATAAACTAAATATTACNTGACCAATCTAACTTAGGTTTAAAATACTTAAATTAGCATTTTTTACTTAAACCCATTTATATATTCATCAATATTCTTCCTCATGAACATATATATATATTACTACTTATCATAAATCCAACACTATGTGATTGAATAAAATACAAAATTCATAAATTAAGTAACAAATTCTTATCTGTAATGGATTCAAGTCCTTTCTTTCTTTCCTCATCTTTATTTCTTATAACTCTCTCTCTCCTTTTTCTTCTTCGTTCATGGGACAACCCCTCTACAAGCCTTCTCACCAATAAAAAAAACTCTACANCCAATATCATTACTAAACTCACGTAAAACAATAACTAAACCATAAAGTTTACTACTTTAAACATAAATAATATTGTTCTCAAAATAATTAAACATTTGTCTCAAAACTATAAAAAAAATTTATTTCTAAAGACCTACAATAAAATAAATCTTCGATTCCTCTAATCTCTTGTTTATTTATAAACTTACTTCTCACCCTGATTCTCACCTAAAAAATATTAAATATTTGGATGAGCACAATGACCCGTGAATAACAATCACCTCTAATGAGGTGTGAAAATAAATCCCATAGTTCATATACAAAAATAAATTTTGATATATATATAAGTACAATAAATTATACCCCAATTCCTCACACATAATCATATAAACAACATGATCTCATAATCACAAATAACTTTATAAATGAAAAGACATTTATAACTCAAAATGCTCACATACACATTCAATTCCAAATACATTTATCAAATCATGTTTATTACCACTAGTTTGGTAATTGACATAGTCTTTTATTACCATTAGTCTAATAACTAACACAGTTTCTTGTCATTACTAGCCTGATGACTGCCCCCGTCTCTTGTTACCATTAGTCTAGTAACTGGGTCAGTCTTTTGTCATCACTAGCCTAATGACTGACCTAGTCGCTTGTTACCACTTAAACCTGGTAATCCCAGTCTTAGTCGCTTGTTACCGCTTAAACCTGGTAACCCCAGTTCTCGTCTCATAAATATGATTTTCACACACATCAAAACTGTAGTTTTAATCCCAATGCGCACAAAATTTCTTTTCATCACCAAAGTAATGATATAAAATCAGCCCACAACTTTTTCAAAATTCACATGTAGAACAGTTCACAATTTCTAAAACATTTAATTGTAATTCCAAATATCAACACATATATCATATATATAAAAAATCCACATGCACGTACTCACACATTGAGTATAGAAAATCCTCCCAAAAGAGGTTGTAAACTACTCACCTTGATTCCCAAAATTCAATTCGAAACACTCTTTTCCAACCTCAATGCAATCATTATCTAATCCAAAATAATATATAACCATCAATCCATATTTCTAACTTCGTCTTTTTGTAAATTTATATTTAATTTACGTACTTTCTACCCATTAATATATACTTAATAAATCATTTACATATAACTATCCTTTATAATATGATTTAATAGAGTATAGAAGTAGTCTGTGCTGTTTATAATTTTTTTTTTTAAGTTTTGAGGTCAAATCATAATTTTTAAAATTTTTGGGTTCAAAGTATAATTTCCTTAAAAAACGAATTTTTTATTTTCGGGCAGCCATAAATTTTCCAGAATTCTGTTCTTGTAACTTACCAAGTGAAAAGGTACTTAAAATTAAGTTTAAAAGAATAAAGGGGTTAAAATAAAACTCTTTTACATTAAAAGGGAGCTTTCTATGAATTTTGGATTTGATCTTCTTCTTTCGAGCGGCAGAACCTGGAACAGTACTTCTTTTCCCTATTTTTTTTTTCCTTTTTGCACATTGGTTTAATTCCTTAAAATTTCAAAACTGACCAATCTAACTTAGGTTTAAAATACTTAAATTAGCATTTTTTACTTAAACCCATTTATATATTCATCAATATTCTTCCTCATGAACATATATATATATTACTACTTATCATAAATCCAACACTATGTGATTGAATAAAATACAAAATTCATAAATTAAGTAACAAATTCTTATCTGTAATGGATTCAAGTCCTTTCTTTCTTTCCTCATCTTTCTTTCTTTTAACTCTCTCTCTCCTTTTTCTTCTTCGTTCATGGGACAACCCCTCTACAAGCCTTCTCACCAATAAAAAAAACTCTACAAACTTAAATATATTTTTATATATACGAATGGTTTGACCTATTTAACAATACTATCTTATTTAAACCAAATGTATAATAGTCCTAATAGGTCTCTATAATTATATGATATTCCCCTTACACAAAAAAAACTAAATTATCTCCACTGATTTTCAAATCATATCCATAAGTCCATAAAGATAAACCTTAACCCAAACAAAAATCTAAAACTTTTCAAATCAAATTTATTTATTTTTATTTTTATTATTATTTTTGTTATTTCATTTTTTTTTTATCTTAGGTATTACATGCAGCGCTGGTCCTGTTGCGGAGGACATGTTCCACTGGCAAGCAACAATTATGGGTCCTGCGAGCAGTCCTTATGCTGGCGGCGTTTTTCTGGTTACCATCCATTTTCCTTCGGATTATCCATTCAAGCCGCCCAAGGTGGCATTCAGAACAAAGGTCTTCCACCCAAATATCAATAGCAATGGAAGCATATGCCTTGACATCTTGAAAGAGCAATGGAGCCCTGCCCTAACCATTTCCAAGGTGTTGCTTTCAATCTGTTCGTTGTTGACAGACGCAAATCCTGATGATCCTAAATGGTCTGTCCATTTTATGTTTTCTTCAAATACTTTGGTCTGTTTATTTTATGTATGAATTAGTTTGACGTGTTTGTTAATCCTAAATGGCCAAAAAAGTGGTCCAAGACATGCCTTTTAAAGGAGGGGGAAAAACACTAGACGTTACTTCTAAATGTTTGTGTAATTCGATTTGTTAATCAATGTAATTTTTCCTCGCAAAAAAAAAAAAAAAAAAAAAAGTGGCACGAAGAAAAAAAAGGATAAAATTAGTATTTTTGAAAAAAAATTAGATGACATCGTCACTTTTTTAGTTGTCGGTAATGGTTTGTCATTGTAAAGGGTGTACTTGAAATAAATATATGAATTATGAGGGAGTGCAGTGAAATTTCAGAATTGGGATGGGATATCAGTGAAGTTAAATCTATCTATAAGGTTTGGATAAAATTTTTCCTTAATATAAACATAGTAATGATTGAAATCTTAACGGTCGGAAAATAAAAATAAAAACGTCATGTTGCAGAGCATTTCCCTTCCACCAAGTCAACATGCGAAGAAGAATCTAGAGCAACAGAGTTTTTGAGAGAGAGAGAGGGAGAGAGAGATGGAAGCACTTGTAGCAGCGAAACCAGTGATCAACGTCGCCGCTCTCTGCGGTTCTCTTCGCAAGGGTTCATTCAATCGCAGCCTCCTCCGTTCAGGTACTCCTCTAAATAGATATGAGTTATTGCTAATTATGCAATACTTTAACTTAAATACGCACAAAAATTATTTTTAATTAAAATTAGATATGAAATTATGTGCATAAATATATCTTATTTTAAATTATGATAAGATTTATGACTTAATGAGAACAAATTAATAAAATAAGAATTAATTATAATACTAGAAATATGATAAGATTAAGTATAATTCGTATCCGAAGGCATGATGAGTTAGAATTGTGAATTTGTGTTTGGTTGAATGTTGTAGCTATAGCGATAAGCAAGGAATCGATAAAGGGTATGAACATAGAGTACATTGACATATCGCCAATCCCGTTTCTGAACATTGATCTCGAGGTCGACGGAGCTTTTCCTCCGCCCGTAGATTCTTTCCGCCGGAAGATTGCTGCTGCCGATAGCTTTCTCTTCGCTTCGCCTGAGTACAATTTTTCTGTCACTGGTACTTCTATAACCTCGTTTCTGTTATAATTTTACCCTTAAATTTAGTCTCAAACGCTTACGCAGTGTGAACTGTATGTATCAATCTCTTTCTCATGTGTTTTTACATTGGATTAAATCATGGAGATTATGGTTTTTGATAATTAAGCCAATAACATAACATAACATTACATCGTCATGTTCATTTGGGTTCCCATTTATCGAGGGATTGGGAAAGGAAAACCAAATAAAATATGTCTCTGCTCTCTCTATTGTTTTGTTCGGCTCTTTGCAATTTGCAGAATGTAGAGCATATATATATATATATATAGTAGCAATAATCTTGTTCTCAAGACACCTGTAATAGCAAAAAGGAACATTAGTTGTGCAATTTTTATTTTAAATAACAATTTTTTTTAATTATGCAAATTAAAATTAAAATGAACAAATAAAACATTAGAGATAGGTAGAGGAAAGAAAAGAGAAAGGTGGATGTTTATTAATGGAGAGTACCATTGAATCAAAGTTGATGAAAATGACATCAATCTTGACGGTTGTTGCTTTTATAAGTTAAGTATTAATATTAGATTAGATGTGTGTGTGTGTGTGTTTATGTGTATGGTTTAATTTACGGAGATATGATCTCTATATTGAGTTGTTTATTACATGTTGAAACCAAACTAAAAATTGGAGAGTTTTTTATGAATAGATCTGAGATTTTTTTTACAAGTATCGTTGACAAGTTTAGGTTAACTTTTTTTGGGCAAAAAAAAAAAAAAACTAGTATTTTCAATTTTATGGATTTTTGATATACGGGAATATATGGTTTGGAAATTGATTTTCATGGATTTCATACAATTGACATTAAGAATCATTTGTTAGATCCCCTATAAATAAAATTGTGGCTCCACGCCGCCCCTGTTCCTAGTGTATATTTATTTATGTGTTTTTTGGAAAAAATTAGATCTCAAGAGGTGATAGCGGGGTTACATTCAAAAGAACAAGAAATATATATATATATATGTCCTAAATTGTAGATTAAGTATTTAAGCCTGCCTAAACCATTGCTTAGGGGAGGTGGAGTTGACTTGGTGTGAATCCTTGAAGCATATCTTCCTTCAGGACAACCACTGCAATCACCCCTGCTTTTAGCCATGTGGTAGCTGAGGATTCTGGAATATTAGTCTTTGTCAATGAAAAAGGTGATTATGATCTGTTACTTAACTCATCTATAAGAATGTGAATGTCAAAGTTTGAAACTGCTACATATTTTAGAAGCTTCCTTTTGCTATTTTCTGTGCTATGTTAATTTTATATTTAGAGAGTGCGACAGCTACAAATAGTAACTCAGAAGTTAAGACATGCTTATCTTCTACCAGATTGAAGTTGTTGGTGCAAGTTCTGTTCTATTTTGTAATGTTAGCATATCATGACAGTGTTAGCTGGCACCCCAACCTAGTAAAAAGGCTTTGATGCTTTACTAATGCAATAGGTTTGATAAAGGCATTTTTAAGCCCTTTTGCTTGCCGAGAAATTCCCCCTTCTTGAGTGAAAAGCTTGTTTTATGCCCAACCAAGCCAAGTATACATATGGAAGTTGCTTTTAGTACTACTAGTAACGCACTACGTGCGTTGCACGTGCATAATTTTTTTAAAAAAAATTAATAAATAAATATTTGAGATGTGTATTTGAATTAAATATCATCTCAAATTTATCATACTTATTTTTTCATCTCTCATGCTCCACTATAGAATTTTTAAAAACTTCGTATATTTTCAAGATTTGTTGTTCTAACTTTAAGAAAAATAATAAAAAAAGAAAAGAAATAATTAAAGTTCTATTTTGTTTCTATAATTTTGTAATTAAAAGTGATTTTTTAGTGATGTTTGAAAATAAAATTTTTTAAAATTAATTTGATTAATATTCCACTTATAAATCATTGAATAAAATAAAAATAATTATCAATATACCAATCATATTGGAACTTTACTATATTTAGAAATAGTTAGGTCAATTGAGATAAAATTTAATATACAATACTATAAAACATATTAATTTTTTTTAAAAAATTCAAGTTGTCACATAAAATGTTAACATAGTTTAAAAGGTTTATTGTGATTAAAAAATCATGTAAAATTTTATATACATTATTTTTTATCGTAAAAATGAAAATGTTAAACATTTTGATGAAAAATAAAATATAAATATGTAATCATAATATTTTCTTTATAAATAAGGTGAATAATATTATATTGATGGAATTTTTGAATATTTAATTAAAACTTATAATGATGCATATATTTTTTAAGAGTAATATAATCAATCAATTTTTTTTATAAAAAATGACATTTATACATAGGAAATATATAATTAAAAGTGGTCTTAGATGTAATTTGGAGATTTAAATGCACAAGGATATGATAGTAATTTATATATTAATTGTGGAAGGATAGAGTGGTCTTTTTTATGAGGGTAATATAGTTAATCAAAAGATTTTCATGTTAAGGTACTTTTATTTATTTGTAGAATGGATTTATCCCCATACCAACACCCCTTTGGTAAACAAAACATTGGCCTGATAGGCAGCTACATACCTAAGGTCGACGACCATTCCAGAAAGAACTCCATACCTACTCCCAAAGGAAAGAAGATACACATCTAGTACCATCTCAGCTGTCCTATCTTCATCTAACCTTTAAAAGTCTTAAAACTTATGCCTTATGAAACAAGATTCGGTTCGCATCTTAAAGGATCATCATAATATATTGTTTTGGCTGTATAAGATTGGAAGAAATGGAATAATTGCTTGTTTCAATTCAATCCTGAATGCTGCACACTATTTAATCCATGCTTCTTTCAATTTTTTATTATTGATATATAGAAGATTTATACTTGGATTCTTTTGGGGCAACATGTATCTTCTTTGATCTATTGGCTAAAAAAATTCACTGTTGTAGTTTTCATATTCTTAAGAATATATTTCAGATGTTAGCATTTGTTTGAAGGCTCAATTTATCGAAATGCTTCAATTATGAAAGGTGGTGCTTTGCTGCATTTTGCTTCTGCTACTCGTCGATTAATCACTGTCTCTTCCCTGTTACAATAGGGCCTTTAAAGAATGCGATTGATTGGGCATCTAGACCACCAAATGTGTGGGCTGACAAAGCTGCTGCTATAGTGAGTGCGGGAGGAGGTTTTGGTGGGGGACGATCACAGTATCATCTCCGCCAGATCGGAATTTACCTTGACATTCATTTTATCAATAAGCCTGAATTTTTCCTGAATGCATTCCAACCTCCTGTGAAGTTTGATAGTGATGGCAACTTGACCGATGCTGATACTAAGGAGAGGTTGAAAGAAGTTCTTTTAGCTTTGCAGGCATTCACATTGCGACTCCAAGGTAAGAGCTGAACAGTTTGTGTGGCTCAGGCTCCTCCATGTGAACTATATTCATGCCTGCATCTATTATGCCTTGGACATGAAATTGTTGTGCAATCTAGAGAACACTCTTTCTGTATTCTTTCAGTTGGAACTTTTAATTTCCTGCTTACTTCTTCTTCTGTGTCGTGTGCTGACACATTGATTGTATCTGTATAGCTATGGTGGGATAGGTGCTCTTTCTTCTGTTTGTTTGGCAGATTGTGCAGGTTAAAACGTGGACACATTAGTACATATAAAATTTCTAGGCTTAAATTTTCTACACTATATGAACCAGTATTTGTCAAGGCTAGATCTGGATCCAGTAGGACAATGCAGTAGCATAATATCATTTGAGTTTGGTTGAAGATGCCAAACTGATATTTTTTATCTTTTGCAAGAGTTAAATAATTTCCGAGTTGAATCCTTAAGCAAAATAATTTCCGTGCCCTGCATTTGGTTGCTAAGAAAACAAAGTGAAAAATAAAAGTAGACAACTTTGGATTTTTTTTTTGTTTGGGTTAGGTTGGGGGTTAGCTATGTGATATATGGTGATGAACAATTTAGTATCTATTTGAATAGAGAACCAAACAACTCTAATGGTGTGTTTGACAGGATAGATGGAAAATAGAATGATGGAGAGTGAGAGTGATACGTTTTATATCCTTTAAGGGAGGAATATTTCTTTCCCGCCTTTGTGTTTAGTAGGATGGATCATGAAAGTAAAAATAATTGATTTTTTGTGTTTGATAGGATGGAAAAATAGAAAAATGGAAAAAGTATATATGTATATTTTATCATTTTATCTACATACGAAATTAATGTATACATAATATGTAATAGATAAATGTGATATATGTATATGTTAAAATATATACAGGTAAATAGCATATGTTTTCACACATATAATTAATTTTTTATCCATTTTTTTTTCAATTTTGGAGGGATTGATTTTATTGAGTTAGAGCATCTCCAACCCATTCTCTACTTCTTCTCTTTTAGCTACTTTAACTAGCCAAACACAAAAAATTCTCTCCAACCCACTCTCTATTTCTTAGTTAACCCAAATGGCTCACCAAATGTGGTGAGCCATTTGAGCTCTCTAAATTCTCTCTCTACCTTTTTTTCTCTCTATTTCTCTCTATATATATTTTTTACTTTTTTTAAATTATTGGAAGTTAGTGAAAGTTGGGTGTAGTAGTTAGCTAAAATAGAGAGTGGTTAGAGTGAATTTATAAAAATAGAAATGGGTAGCTAAAGTAGTGAAGGTAATATTTAAATATATTTTGACTAGCTATTTTAAAGAGGAGGGTTGAAGATGTGCTCTTAGAAGGAAATTTAATCCATTCAATTTTCCATCATTCTTATTTTTCTTTCTTACCAAGTATTATGTTTTGTCTATCCTTTCAACTTTCTATTTTTTCGTTTTTTTATCGTACCAAACAATGCAAAGTTTGCTGGAAAGGTTTTGCTAATTGGGAAATTTGGTGGAAATGACTCTTAACCTTTAAGTAGATCCTGTGTCTATTTAAAGACCTTAATCACTCCCCCTCTATGTAATTTTCCTAGACACAAGGTGGAGTGGCTAGTGAAATATAGATTACGAATAAGGTTACGATTTAGAGTAGTGTGCTTGACTTGTTACAAATGAACCATTCACTTTTTTATTGCCCAGTACTATCATTTTTACCCGGCGAAGTATAAGGAAAGAATGAGTGCGATGGCAAGAGGGAACCTAGTTGCCGCTCGCTTATCTCGTCGCGTCTATGGGTGGAACTCCAAGTTGAAGATATCAATAACTTTCGTGTCAAGTTAAGAGAATAATAAGTCGAATTATAAATCTTTAACTTCAGCTTTGAATCTAACAATTGCTTTAATTTCTGTTTGTAGTGTCATAAATTTTTTCCATTTGCTATTGAATAATGAATTCTCAAAAGTAAGGTCTACTCGACATGAATTAGGTGGTAATGAAATCTTTACAAAAAACTTTGTCAAAATTCCCTATTAATACTAATATTGTCAACTAATTAATGCTTGATTATTAGAACTTTTTTGTAATGTTGTTGTCCAAACAAAAAGTATTGAGTTTGCTTTGCTTCTTAATGATTATGATTTATGACATAATGAAGAGGTCACAAAAGTCCAGACAACAACGATTGGATTGCCAAAAGACTGCTTATATATGGTTGTATTTCTGGTGAAGTTATTGAGCAATGGGCTCCTCATTTTTGTCAGTCACTTCTATGATGCACAAAAGTGATTTTATGTAAAATTAATCAAGAATGAAGTAAAGATAACTCAACACAAGCAACATAAAGATTAGGTGACTCGGGCTAGTTGACCTACTCCATTAGGAATGACGACGGTGGCCGGAGAATCTTATTACTTGAGAGGTGTAGTGTGCTGAAATGTGTGTGATACCCCTCATGTGTAGGTGAGACTTATAATTTATAGGGGGAGTATAGTCTTCATGGTACCACAGAGTGGGCTTTAATGGAGGTGCCATTACCTGGAGCCCTGATTAAGATGTTACTCTTGTGATGGGAGTGAGTGGCTCCGTGATGTTGGGTGTAACAGACGAGGTGGTTGAGGTTTGCGCACTCTGATTTTCTTCCTAAGATGGATATTTCACCTGCGTCACTAGCAGATTGGATTTTCTAAGACGATGGATTTCATCCTTGTTGACTTGTATTTCTGATCTAGGTTTGGTTGCACTTGTGACTTGTGCCTGATCTTTATTACTAAAGTTATTAATTGGGCCTCTGAGTTGAACTTGGTCTGAGCCGAACCCGTCAACTTCAACACTTTTTTTATTTTCATGGAAAGGGCTACCCTCCTTGATAAACCTTATCTTATACTTACAATCTCTTGGAATCCAACTAAATACAAAATGCTAGAGGTATTAGATGGCAGGTTGGTAATGGGAACAAATTAATTCTTGGAATGATAGATGGATCCCGTCTTTGTCTGGTTTCTCAGTTTTCTCGCCCAAGCTCCAGAACTGTAATATTGAGTATGTTATGGATGTAATAAATCAGACATCAAATGATTGGGACCTTGATTCTCTACGGAAGCTTACCAATAGAGAGGAATACCGTGCTATCACAGTTATTCCGGTCTCAAAAATGAAGGGGTTGGATAAGAGGATATGACATTTTGATGCGAGGGGTTATTATACAGTTAAATCAGGCTATAAGGAGGCAAGGAGAATGAAGATTTCAATTGCGAATTAGGATTGCTGTTCTTGCTCTCTCCTTCATCCTAATTTGTGGAACATTATTTGGGGCCTGAAAACAACACCCAAGGTAAGACACTTTTGGTGGAGGGTATGCTCTAATGCTTTCGCTACGAAGGAGAATCTCTTTAAACGAAAATGTAGCTCCTCCCCACTTTGCCAGATTTGTGGTGATAAGGTTGAAACAACATAACACCTTTTATTTGGTTGTGCATGGACTCATAAGGTTTGGTTCGGATCGGATTTGACCCTGAGAATGAAAAGCCAAAATATTGTACCAGCGAAATTTTGGACATCTTATTTAGTGGAGAATCTAAACACATTTGCCCAGGCGGTGGAGGTTGTTAGCAAGGTGGCGATTATTGGGTGGTCCATTTGGAGGTTGAGGAATGAGGCTGTTTTTCATTTGGCTCCTCCTAATCCTGTAGTAACACAAAAAAGGGCGCGGTTCGATTGGGATGAGTCCTCTTCTCTCCACTTGGTTCGGAACCAGCAGTCCCATTCACCTCCTCAGGCCTAGTCACGACAAATTGTGATGGAGCGTTTAANAGTTTTTTTTTTTTTTTTTACACTATTACAAGAAAGAGATGACGAGATTCAAATCTACAATCATAAAGTCTAATATTAGGGGCGAGCTGGTTATGCCAACTTGCTAACCTCACTCTTATTGTTGGAGATTCCCATGTATTTGTGAAATTGACATAGGAGTCCAATGATCTATACGTAGTATACAAATAGGGCATGTTCGGTTGGGATATTAAAAAAGTATTCATAATTCGTGTCTAAAAATACTATGTAATATAAAATTTGAATATCCAAAAAATCGGTTCAATTCAACCATATGAAATAATAATTTTTGTTTCTTTCTCTCTTTTTTTAATTATATAATTTGAAATTAATATCTATCCATTATTTTTTTACAAAAAATTGACAAAAATTTTCTCAAAATATATGGCCTCAAAAAAATTTAACATGCTTACGACATCGCCGAAATAAAAATTATATTGATTTACAAATTAATTAAAAATTAAATGATTTAACTTGTGATAGAAAAAACAAAAAAAAATATGTAAGGATAAAATTCAAACTTAGATCCCTTATTGTATAGATGAGATTAGACTAAATTAGTACAATGGTTAGTGAATATTAAAGTTTGGATCAGGTTATGAGGCTCTATCATAATAATTTTAATAAGTGATAATTGGGGGTCAATTCTCTTTAGGAAACTTATAATGAATTAAGTCCATCATTTAAACATATTTGGTGTTAAGTGATATTATTATCTTTTTAGTAAGTAGTTAAGTATAATTTTTTTAATGACTCTAAAATGCCCTTCTTACGACGTTAAAAGCAGTCTTCAACATTAAATCAGTTTTGTTAACCTGAAAACAATTACCCTTTGATTCATGTCCAAGAGTACTCTTTCTCAAAACTTATTCGAAAACATCACACTTTATTAAACCTCATCGCAATAATTCCAATTCCAACACCAGTT